TTTTTTGCAATTCGTCCTTCATATCGTCCATATCATCCATACGATCCTCTTTATTAGTCATTACTGAAATAAATTTTAGTTGTAAGAATGTGTATTTATTTATTTATTTATTTATTTATTTATTTATTTATTTCTCAATAAACTCAGTAGTTAAGTATCATCACACTAAAATTAAATAATATCTTATCGATCATTATAAGTTTGCAAAATTGAGCTCATATGAAAATGTAAAATTTAATTAAAAATAGAGAGGCATACAAATCAGGCAGTGCTTATTTCCTTTCTAATATTTCAGCTGTATGTATTCGCTTGATGCACCATTTATACGTGTAAAAGTCCATATAATATATATACATATACAACAAAATCTGAAACCTACCAAAAACTTTTAATTTTTATTATTTTTCAACATTTAATTAACCACTATATCTATTTCTACTTACCATTGTTAAGATTAATACACATATATTTATCATATACTTTTCCCCTCCTGTCAGCTTCGTCTTGACTGATAATTTCGCCACAATATTCTGAGATGAATTCATTCTTTGCTGCTGATCTTCCAAATTGTATAAAGTATATTTCAAATTATAAAGACCATGTTGCACGCTGACATTTTTTCAAGATTTAGAATTGATTTGGAAATTATCTGCATCATATGTTTGGCAAAGATCCAGATCTTTGCCAAACATATGGTTTCCCCAGGGAAACCCCAGGGATCCCTGGGGAATGGTCGCATTCCCCAGAGATCACATTCCCTGACAGCCAGATAACAAGGACACTGCTTTGTATTGCATTGCGCCTTGCACCTACACTCAGGAAATCTGTTCTGGCATTCGTTGCTGCACTGATAAAACTTCTCGCAGAAGTTTTGTGCTTATATACATGGGCATGAATTATTACACTGACGACCGGGATGATTACAAGGTGCAAAATTGTGCACGTGATTAGCACCTATTCATTCAAATGAAACGTACGAATTAGAGGCAAATAAGATGAGGGGATAGTATAAAATTTAACATACCCGAGTTCTTCTTAACTTGTATTTTCCGGCAATGCATAGACCACAACCGATGCTTTTTTTCTTTTTTCGCGGCGGTGTGAAGTCCTTGAGATTTTCTATAGCAGGAATGTCCGAAGCTGCTTTCTGCGCAAATTCGTAAACTTTCTTGCATGTTTTTGTCAATAATCATTTTTGTTAATAATCATCATACTTACTTCTTAATCAATCACTGATGTTTAATCAGAAAATATCCTAATCAATCACTAATGTATCCCACTGATGATGACGATATATCAATCACTAATGTATCCCACTGATGATGATGACGATGCACCGATGTTGCGTACTTCATGTATGTATATATATAATATAATATTCTTAATCAATCACTGATGTTTAATCAAAAAAATCCTAATCAATCACTATAATGTATATCCCACTGATGACGATGCACCGATGTTGCGTACTTAACCCACCATTTCTTCCCAATGTTGCGTATACGCAACACGAAGTTTAACTTCACAAAATGCAGTCAAAATGAACTTATTATCACAATGTAACATTTCGTGAAAAAAAATAATTACTGACGTCAGTAATTAATTAAACACTTCGTGTTGCGTATATGCAACATTGGGAAGAAATAGGTTAATGTATGTACACTACGTTATACTACGTTATAAAAAGATTGAAGAGCCATTTCTCTAGACAATCAAAAAGCACCTCTCTCTCACTCTCCCTCGCTTGCTCGCTTGCTCGCATTCGCTGCTGTCTGCTCTTCAGCGCTCTCGTAGCGCCCCTGGTGTCGGGAAAGCAATGTGCACGTTTTGCCCCACTCCTTTGCGTCCGACGTTTCTTACTGAATCGAAATTTTCCGTGATTCAGAATTTATCTTAAAATATCTCCACTTAGAGACAACGTACACAAAAAGCACAAGAACACTTTTCTTCCTATTTTTGAAAGCCGAATCGATTGGGTATAAAAAAACCTCGATTGGTTCGGCCATTGCTGAGATATGAAAATCTCACCATGTTTCAACTCGGAGTTTCGCGTATAATAGGCACGGTGTGCCTTGCGCCGTTCGGGCGCAACTTCGTTGCGCTTGAACTTGGCACGAGGCACTACCGTGCTTCTTGATCTGCATATATCCTTCTGTATGTATACTTCTGTCAAATCCGACCTACCGTTTCTCGTGTGCTCATTGGCCCAGATGTTTTAATTAATAACTTAATAACTATTGCGATTCTTGGAAAATTTTATATAACTTATTGTTCAATTTCACCTGTTCTATCTGTACAAATTGCTCGGTCCAAAATTTTTCAAACATTCTGTATATAATAATATAATATATATATAGGGTGTTAAAAAACATACTGAAAAACCTTGAGAAATAATGGAAAATACATAAATAAGCAATATGAGATTTAAAGCTTAATGATCGAAAACATATTATGTATGAAATATAAGATGTTAAAGAAAAAGAAAATAAACGCAAGAAATGGGTTCAATTCCAACTAAGTATAGTGTTTTTTACGTTTCAAAATCATTGAATTATTCCTTTGTTTATTGGAAATTGAGTGCATTTCTTCGTTATTATGTACACAAAAAATATGTCGGTAAAGTGCAAATGTAAATTGTATAATAATATTTTTTTTAATCTTACATCTCATACATAATGTATTTCCAATCATTAGTTTTCTATCTTGTTGTTTATTTACGTATCCCCTATAATCTTTCAAGATTTGTCACTATATTTTTTTAACACTCTGTATAATAATAAATAATACACATACTAACAAAAAAAATATCTGAGAAATTAAAAATTTTATTGATGAGTTTACCACTAACATATATTAAGTAAATTGTTTTAGTTAAAAAATATATCTTTTTTTAAAAATCTGCTTTTGATGTAAAAGCAATTGTTCTTTTTATTAAATTAAAAAAATTTAGACTGAAATGTATTATTAACAAATAACGTATAAATACTTCTTTGCTTTTAATATATTTCCCTCTCAATATAATAATTATAATAATATAATCAAAATAATATAATTATAATATAGTCATTATTATACTATAATGATTAATGGTGAATATATAATATAACAACAATATGATATACAATAATTATATTACAATTATAAGTAAAATTAGATAACATAACTAAAAGGAAATAATAAGAAAAATAACAATATTATATATTTTACTTTAAAATGTATAATTATACAGGGTGTCCCATTTTAAAGGATTTACTCGAATATTTCAGAAATACTGTATTAAATCGAAAAATGTTTCAGATAAAAGTTGTTCAAATTAACTAGTACAAAAAGATGATATAATAAACAATTGGGGCTTCCATTTAAGAAAAGTAATGATCAGTGAATATTTCAAAAGTGGCACTATCTGTAAACAAACTAATATAATTGTTTTATGTACCCCTTGAAATCATACAACTTCTATCTGAAACATTTTTCGATTTAACGCAGTGTTTCTGAGATATTTGAGTGGATCCTTATAATGAAACACTGTGTATATTGTATAATTACACATTTATATATACATATCTATTAAGATAGTAACTATTTATTGGAAAGCATATTTACGAGTTAGAGGGACAGATGTCTTAATGAGTATAACACTGTTATAACGAAGTGACTGTTATTATTTCCATTCCGAATGCGCAAACGCCGAGATTAATGGCAGTCCATGCAGGTGTAATCGATCCTGTCAATTTTACTTAAAATTTTACTTAAAATGGTACGTAAGGCTGTGCGAGGACAATAAATATATTTGTATAAGAACGCACGTTACCTCGTCGGCTATAATTAACATTCGCAACGTCATCGTCGTCGTTGTCGCCATCGATCAACGAAACGATTCGTGCATATTCGTAACTTTCTAATTTTCGAATCTTTCATCCGCTCTCTTCCTCACCTCTCCTTTCTTCTTTTGGAAACGTTCGGTTCGAATCAAATGCACGACCATTGTAATGTACACCGTTATTATGGAGAATTACAGTATTTACTTTGCGTATTTTTGATCGTATAATTGACGCGACAAAAGTCGGTAATCGCTTATCGACGTTATCGAGCTGTTACGTCAAAGAAAAGAAAATGATATTTAAAGACGGTCAAAAATAATAGATCTATTCGTTTTCGAGGAACTTCGGAACTATAGTGCACACTAGTGCAATGAGTTAAAGTGGAGAAAAGTATACTTATTTCACTCGAACTTATTGGGCTAATTCAAAAATGCTACGAAAACAAAGACCTAATGACAATGAGAAGTCCATCACATCATGCTGGCTGAATTATGTTCGTTATAGTTGTTGATAACGTTGATAACGCGTTAAGTTGATCACATTTTCAATTACATCTGCCTGTTCGAAAGAAGTATGGCGATGTGACACGTGCGTCTCTAATATTTGGATCTTAACCGATCTTTGGCTGGAACGAAGCTTTTTTAGGCCCGGTTCCACAACTTACTGTAAACGAAGTTTAACTCGTTAACTCTAGTTTAGACGAAAAATTGCGTTCCACAACTGCCTTAAACCATGGTTAACGTTGATTTCTCACAGTTAAAGTTAAACCCAAAACTTTGGGCGTTTAATGAATTTAAACGAAGTTTAACACTGCAGTACCATCAATTTGAGAAAAAAATTTATGACTATCCCGGTTTTGGAGTTCAATTGACGAATATGTTGAACGTTTGAACACCAAAGAGATATGGCTTTAGAATACATATTATCTTCATCTAAAGATGAAGATTTTGAAAACCTAATTTATCGACGGACAAGAAATATAAGAATAAGACGACCATCATGTTTGAAAGAATTTGATAATATCGATTTTCATGCACGATTTAGATTATCAAAAGAATCTGTTATTGCAGTTCTAGCAGAAATCGAGCATGAAATTTCTTATAAAACAGAACAGTAAGTATATAAATTTAATTTAAAATATTAGGCTTTTTGCTTCGATAGATTATATTCTAAAACAGAGTATAAAACTATATATAAAAGTCAATTATTATATGATAAATATAATCAAATCAATAATATAAACTAATTGATTATTATTAACACTGGACTTCCACTTTTTAATAAATTAATACTTATATACAAATACAGCAAATATTACTGTTGGTTAGTGTTTACTTCATACGAAATAGATATATTGTTCTCTACTAGATGTCATAGCATCCAACTTATTTCAATTTTCCCTCTTTTCACTATTAGCAACAACCAATCATACTCTACGTTTGTAAAGAAAGAGAAGTCTTTGACAGTTTCTTCATACAGACTATAGGTTTAAGTAAACTACAGTTAAAAACATGATGTGGAACGCGATATAAGTTTAACCATGCCGTTAAATGTAACGTCAGTTCAGATAATCACGGTTTAAACTTGATTTTGTGGAACTGGGCCTTAAGGTGGAAGGCTCATTTTCGCAGGTTTTTAGCGTGCAAAAATGAATCTAACAAATCGCGCGACTTCCCGTCGCCGCGTTTTAACTCGACTGTCAGAGCGAATTTTGTGATTCAAAAGCGCCCTTAGGAAAAATTATTTAAGATGTTCCAATTAACTTAAAGTTACTTATAGTTACCTAAAGTTACTTATAGTTAACTAGAAATTACTCACAGTTAACTATAAGTAATTTGAAAATTTAAAGTAATTTTTCCTAAGGGCGCTCTTCGTAAATCGCGTACTTTTGCGATGCAATGTAAATTGTTGTGAGAAGAACGGATTATGAGAAAATCGTCGAATTGCCAAGAAGAGAAACTTCACTTACTCTTGTAAACAGTCCATACAAAGCTGCCACGGCAACACTCAATGTCGCATCCCAGCGGCGAAGAAACGGCCACGGGGATGCTGTCTGCGCCACAGGACGTGTCCACGACTGGGCCCTTTTACGTCGAACGTACGTCCGGACGACGGTAGCCGGATGAACTCGCCAAGGAAGAAACCGGTGCAAACTGATCTACAAACCGGGACGCCGGGGACGCGTTGTACGTGTGAGTGCGAGTTTCGACCTCGATCAACGACTTTCAGAGGCCAGCGGAGCGCGGTATCGTGACGGGAATTTGTATTCACACGACGAAACTACGACAGGGCCGACGCGATGCGTCACCGACGAACATCGGAGCCTTCCTTGAGAATGTTCTCACGAACACAATGACAAAGATGGCGGAATTCGACAGCAGGCTCGCGATCACATATCCTTGCGTGACCGACCACGAAGAATAACGCACAGACAGGCGACAATCACGAAAGAGAACGCACCAACGCTTAAACAAGCAATCGAACACGCCAAAAGATTTGAAATTGAAGTAATCGTTACGGAAGACGCGGGGTAACAATGCAACATGCGCAAGAATGATCCACAGCAAATCGTCAGGTGCAACGACTGGTACACCGTTCGCGAATTGATATAGAAAGCGGACCACATCGCCGATTACAGCCCATTGACCATAGACATAGAAAATATATGTGAAACGATGTTCAAGTTCAATTCAATTCAATTCAATAAATGGCTCTGGGCAAAATAGAGTACTGCTCCAACGCCACTCTCACGGTGTAAATAGATTAAATTCTGTAAGGCTATTTTCCAGTAGTATGAAGGTAAAAGAAAAACAGGGACACGCGTACGCAGTTCCCACAATAAAAAAATATGCGTAGTTACATGAACCATATCCAACCGCCACGGAGGTAAACAAAAGCAGTTGATGTTCAAGTTGTTCTGAGCCTGGGTACCCTAAAGGCTCGTCTACAATAGGTTTGTTCGTTTTGTTTGCACTGCTGAACTGGTGCACCAAGTTGGAATGAGAAAATCTAAAGTCAGCGGCACACGGTGCTTGTTTTCGTGCTGGATTGCTTGCTGGATGAAAATACTGCTTTCTGATTGGTGCATTTCCATCCATCTTCGGAAATGTACCAATCAGAACACAGTATTTTCATCCAGCAAGTAATCCAGCACGAAAACAAGCACCGTGTGCCGCTGGCTTAAGTTTGTCTCACTTTAACTTAATGCACCAGTTCAACAGTGCAGACAAAACGAACAGGCCTAATAGCTGTAAGAGGTGGTTACACGTAGGGCAGACAAACTCAGATAGGATTTACGATGACACTGTATTTCTGCCCCGTATCTACTGAGGGCGCTAGTATCGACATCAAATGTTATATGAAGTTTCCACTCATAATTCACTTTCTTATATGAAGTTGACTTATCAATTATTATATAGGTAAAAAGGTTATAAATATACAAAAAGATATACTAACAAAATCGGCAAATACGCAATTTGTGTGTTCTACAAATATAATTCTGTTTCAATAATACGTAAGTCGTACACATATTATCGTAAAGTAATTTAGTAAATTCGCGAAAAATGAGTTATAAGTTTAGATTTTATAAACAAATCTTTTTCCAATCATTACTATGTCCTAAAAAGTTACGAGTCATAGTTGTATTAATAGTCCGGTCTTATATTTAAGATCGTGTTAAGTTCATTTTCAGCTGCATTTTCATGCTGCATAGATCATTTGGTACCTTGGGATCCATTGGGTACAGAGTATCTGAACGTGAACTTCAGACGGTCTTAAATATAAGATCCAACTATGAATATAGCCCATTGAGTCAGATTTAAATTTCAAATATTTAATAATTTATAATATTAAATATTTTTTTAGCAACATGAGTCATAAAAAATGTGCAGTATTGCACTGTAATGGGACAGGTAAACGAATGTTTACCTTTCCAAAGCCTACCAAAAATAAAAATAAGTTTTTAAAATAGTTATTGGCATGCGGAGATGAAAAATTATTAAAAATAGCAGAGAAAAAAATAGCCAGCAGAACAATTTATGAGAACCATTTTGAGGAAAGATATAAATTTCCAAAGAAATTAAGCAATGATGCTGTTCCTACTTTATTATTACCAAGTATATTGAAAAATTATTAAAATGTACTAATAGAAATCAACTTCTTTTATAAACAAATGATAAATAAATTATATTATTATACCCAATAAAAAACTCTGTTATAGTGAATATAAAGCTATATATTTTCTTATAAATATTAAATTTGTTTACAGAACCAATTAATATTATACAACATGAAAGGATTGATGTTACAAATGCTTCCGAATTTATATCAAATGGTAAAAGTTAACTTATTAATCTGCACACATAGCACAAAATCTTCAAGAGATGTCTAAAGCTGGTATGGAATAATGCACAAATTAACAGATTTCCATATAGTGCCAAATAAAATAAAAAAAATGAAGGTTTCCTATTGCACTTAAGTTTTTAGTCGCTCTATGGCCTCAGTAATGACACTAATGAGTTCAACTAGATCTTTCAGTTCTTGTGGAACAAGATGCATGCCTCAGGAAGGAAAAGAAACTGCCGAATTGTTGCTATTTTTTAATAATTTATTTGACTGTCAATGGCAATATTAATATAAAAGATGGACAATATGAACAATGGGACGATGCTATTGCAATCTTTAATACAATAGAATTAAAAAAAAAAAGAAACCGTATGATCGAAAACTTCCTGATGTCCTAAAAAACTGGATACTATCAAGGAACATACTATCAAGGGATTTTAATTAATAGTTGATTATTGTAAAGAATTAGGTTTTATCGAAATACCTACCAAACTTTTTAATCAAGATGCTTTGGAAAATTTTTTCGGGCAATTAAGGCAATATGGTGGTAGAAACATCAACCCAAACTGTACTGCTTTCTTAGGCTATTATAAAAGTTTGTTAATAAATGCATTTATTCAGTCTTCTTCAATATATGGAAATTGTGCAACTGATAATATTTCTACATATTTGTTAAATTTTAAGCAACTTTTGCATTCATCTATATTTGAAAACAATGAAGTTACACCTATACTTAATATTAATATATCAATAGAAATACCCGTGCAATGTGAAATTATAACGATAAAACGACATTTAGTATGCATAATTTTCTAATTAAACAATTATTGTTACTATTCCATAAATGTGAAACATGCATAAAGAATTTAAATATGTTGCAAGAGAATATAATTTTTAAAAATAATATATAATATATAATAGCAATAGAAAATATAACTCGTTTATACTTATCACTAATATCGCATTACGTAAAATTTTCAACTTATATTAAAGAAAATATAATGCAAAGGATTGATTTTGAATTTATAAAATGTGGGTATGAAATGTCGATGAAAGCTACCCAGGTAGACTGACCTCAAATGACGTACTAATGACGTCTTAATGACGTTAGCTAACATCATTAAGACGTCATTAGTACGTCATTTGACGTCAGTCTGCTACCAGGGTAAGTTTATACATATGTATGTTGATCATATTATTAATCATTATTTTAGTGATGTTCGAAAAATTTTAAAAGGGTCATTAAATTTACCCAGTTATTCAGATCTTCTTTTTCAAATTGCAGATGATTATTTTAAGAAACACAAACGAAATATTCGCATAAATCACTTGTGCTTGTAAATAATGCTTATATTTACTGTTTGTGCATGTCTATAATGTTTGGATCTATTTTTACATATTAATGTACCCAATGAGCAAAATGAGTGCAAATTGAGCGCAAATTGGCAGCAAATTCGATCAAAACTTGATGCCAAAACCATATGCAACTGTGTCCTCTTTAGGATTGTATTTTGACGTCAAGGCTTGATGCGGGGCAACTTACAGTAAATTTGCAGCAAAAACAACGCAAGTTTTGCTGCGCATAACTTAGCACCAAATAGGCACCAAACACTGAGCAACATTTGCGCACAAGACACGAGAGCAAATTGGCAGCAAATCCGCAGCAAGCTTTGCACTCAATCAGCTGATTGAGATGGTGGCGACGTACGTTGGGTTTTAAATGGCTCCTAACCTATATATTGCTAAATTTTAATTGCAATTCTGCATTTAAAAAGGGAAAGGTGTATATAGAAATAAATATTTGACAAAACAGACTATGTAATTTATTATATAAATATATATACATATAAGATCACGATATTCGTAATTATCGTTATTTACATGTAAACGAAAGGTGAGAAATGAAATATATGCGGACATATTGACTTGTGTATTCTATATAATTTCTATATAAATATTTTACAACTATAGGTACTATTCTGAATTTTGAAATTTTGACTACAAATTCATAATCAGCAATTCTAAAAACCTTATGTAAGACGTGAATTAGACGCAGATTATTTCTAAAAAAAAGTCAGACACGAAAGGGTTAAGTCACATTGCATAAGTTTTTATGTTATGATGTTATGTTTTTATGTTATGTTATGACTACGAAAGAAATATTAGTATACAAAACTATTCAGAATTCTTATTTTTACTTTTCACTACATGAAACGAGCTAACACGCGTACGGTAATCGCTACATACTACAAGAATTTACGAGAAAAGATTACAAAAAAAGTATCAAAACTTGTGACCAATTTTTCACGCGTCAAGAGAATACTTAGAAGGAAAGATCTCTTTCCCATTTCTTCGCGAGAAATTCACGACATCGCGTTCTAAATTAACGTTCGCTCAAATATTTTCAGCTAAGAGTCCCGTCTTTTCGGGACTGACGGTGATACGGTCCGCCGGCGGAGATGCTGCGCAAACAGTGCGACGCCTAGCGATTTGAAACCCGCATACGCCAAAAACTATTCCCATTGGGCGACCCAACCAGATACACGCAAATCGTCTTCCACAGTTTCGATAAGGACGGTGACGATTTCGTCAGCTTCAGCGATCTTCGTCTTTTACAGCATCGATCGTGAACGGCATGGTCGATCAGCTCTCTTGGATATTTGGATGAGCAGTAATCGCTGTTAGTAACGGACTGTCTGATTCCAGGTTCATTTTCGAGAGCAACCTGAAAGATTTTTATTTCGTGTCAGTTAAGAAGTTCGGTTTGATTTTCTGTAACTTCTTCGGGCACAGACTGACCACTTTGTATTTTACCTTTTTCTTGCTGTTTAATGATGGCTGTGCAGAGAAAATTTATATATATAATCATTTTTCCTCGGAATAATATTCAAAGTTAAAAAGTGACATTTAAAAATGTTAATATTAGTCGCAATAGAAATTTTACTTGATTATTGGATATTTATTAAATATTTGATCACTGATACTTATTGAAGTCAATAATCTCGAAGGTTATAACATGTGAAATACTCTCTGGACCTACTTTTCATTAGATTCTACGATTTTGATGGAGACGGTTGCATCACGAAGCGAGAAATGTTGGTCATAATATCCGCGATTTATGAGATGGTGCAGGACGCGCAGACCATCCAGCCCGCAGTTAACATCCAAGTGGACAAGTTCTTCAAGGAGATGGATACAGACACAGACGGAATAGTCACCAGGGAGGAATTCATAAGCGGTTGTAAAAATGTACGAGCAATTAATTTCCATAGCGTCTCGCGATGCGACATCGTTATTTTAGTGATAATGAATAGTAGAAACGTGTATACATTTTGAAATTTAATAAATATTTTATCTTCTTACAGGATACCATTATATACAACCAGTTGAGTTTATTTAATAAGATTTGGTGACCGAATGAAAACATCCTTCAGAGATTAACGAGCAATTTATCCACACACGCGTAAAGCCATTAAAATACTTGTAAAAACTCACCCGATTTCTCTTCTTAAATAGTACATACATTCTCTATGTCATTTATCGTGAGAGTTCCTGCGCAATATGTTACAATCGCAATATCACCGTAAATGATCAGTCCATTTCATTAATATCACATACAAAGCGTTTTCAGAACAGTCTCTTTTGTGAAATGTAAAACACGCAGGCGAGGAAGAACGCGAAGGCCAATGCAAGTAATACTTCATCAGTGACTTCGCATTTACCATATTTTCCTAAGACCTTTCCCGATTGCACTATCACTTGCTCTTGATGCTCCAGCTCGTTTCTCGTGTTATCAACCTTATCAGAGGATGTTACTGAAACAACAGCAAAATCGGTAGAATCGTAATAATTATTCTTAAACAGACAATATATAGTGAGACGATAATAATAAATAATAATTTATCTAACAAAGAGAGAAATTACATGGTGCAGAAGTAATCCTTGCGGCGGTAACGCTTTTTTTCAGGTGATTCTCAAGATTTGAAGGTCACCTTTGTTTTTTTTAATGGAATGCTGTTTCTGAGTTTATTTTTTGATAAGTTATTAAAAGAAATACAATCACCTATAATAAAGAATGATGCAAAATCAGTTATGATACAAAAAAACATTTTAATAAATTTTATTACATTTTTAATTAAAACATTTTATTTAAAAAATAACTTAGGAAAAAATGATAAAGGATTTAGATTTTTAAAGCTTAGTTTACTTAGAAAATAAAACTTTACTACTATAAGACAATTGTTTCAGTACCATGTATTTTCTGTTAAATATTTTTCTATTCTCACATCTCATATGTTCAAGATATTCAAGATAGGATAATAGCTGCTTCATTCTGCATGATAGATATCTAATAAATTCAATATTTTTATGAAATAATTCAAAAATATAGTACGTACACAATATGTCCAATATATCAGCACTTCTCTGAGTTGTCTCAGCTAGATACCTTACGATGCTGAATAATTTGTCTGTGATTTGGCTAGAAGAATCTATCAAACTTTATTTGTCTCGTCGTTTACGAAGAGCATTTTGCCACTCCTCTGGCAAGGAGAGCAGATCCTCCCTAGCTAATTTATCTATTTCTATGACACAAGTGCTAACGACATTAGCCTTGCGAAAGACCACCAAGAACATATTTAATTGCTCCTTATAGCTCTCAACGATGGACAACAACTCAGTCTTCTTCTTCTCATTTGGTTCGGTTTCAGCAACAGACACTAATCGCTCTATGGAGGATTCTAACACCGCAATTTTGGTCCTACCTTCGGTATTGAATTCGTCTAATGCTTTCAACAGCCCAGTGCATTGTTATATGTCCTTAACAGAAAATACATGGTGATTTGTTATTTGGCTTATCAGAATATAATTCCTAACATATTATTTATTATTGTAAATATGATCCTACTATTTATTATTGTAAAACATGATGTTAATTTTCTCTTCTTCTTTCCTTCTTCTTTTTCCAGAATTGATGTTAATCTAAAGTTGAGATTGAGGTTATATCTCATAGTTTATGAGATAGAATCACACATATATATACATATATTTACTTGTATTAAAGCGTTCACTTGAAGATGATCCTTCACAATATCCTGACGTATCAGTTCTACCATGTAATTCTCGAAATCCATTTATGTGTAAATTATTTACTCCTACGTGTCACTCCTCTCTGCATACTACAACTGACACTGACAACAAAACTCTGGGGCTCAATTATTTGGTCTGTTCTTTTCAGCTGCACTGCGGTCACTGCGGAACTAGTGCAATAAGTTAGAATGAGACAACTATATTTTTTCTCACTTTAACTTATTGCACCAGTTCAATAATGCAGCTAAAAAGAACAGACCACTTGAAAGCGTATGAGATATGTCGCATGCGAGAATTGTCGCATGACATCTGGGACTCGATTTCTGACGGCGTGCGAATGAGATGCGCATACGAAAATCTATATTATATGTGCCCAGTGTTGTGCCCATGCCTTTGGGGAACGTGTTGTTCCTACGCTCTTGGAAGAAGACTGTGAAGAAGGCATATAGAGAGTGTTTGACAGCTGTTATCGTTGTCAAGGAGTTTGTTTACTAACAACTGGAATAATAAAAGAGTCGCTCTAGTCCTGTCACGACGTAAAGCGGATTCGTGCGATTATTTTGAGATTGATTAAGATCCGTTTTTCTTGGCTGTAAATAAAGCTTTTCTCGTTTAGTTTATCCCGAGTTATTTCTTTCACGCGCGGGCACAACAATATATAACGTAAACTGTACATTTTCGCATACGCATCTCACTCGCACACCGTCGGGAATCGAGCCCCTGTAACAATTGTCGCATGCGACTCGACAGCGGTGTTGTCGCTACTGTCAGGAGACTCTTAACCAATAGAGAAAAAGCAATAACAAAAGCGGGAATTTTTCTCCACATGACGATTAATAGAGATGGATACAAAAAGCAGATATAATATTGATAGATATGGAATCAAGTAACTTACTTCCACAGATGCATCTAATGCTGAAGATCTTTTTGGATGATGGTATTGCTCTACGATATCAATAATATTGTCAGCCTGTCTTCTAGTTAAATGAAATAATTTTATGAATTGGTTTTCTGGAAGTTCAAATAGATCTTCTCGGGTTCGGAAATGTTTCCCATTTCTTTGTACATGTCTTTCTGCTTCAGCAAGCATATCAGCACCAATAATATTTACCATATTGGCCATGTTAACCAACTTCTGTAACAAAATTATTTAAGAGTATACGCTCGAACAATGTATATAACTAATGTGGGATGTTTCCAAAACTTACCTTATTCAAAATGCAATAACATAGGCAACAATATAAGCTATGTTCTGATATTCACTGTCAATACTGAAAATATTTAGTTTGTGTCACGTAAACTATAAATTTTCAGCGCTGGCAGTAAAGTTGGGTAGATCCAAACTTTTGAAGTTAAGAATTAAAGCTTAAGGCCGATTTCTTTCAGCCAATAAGAAAAGTTATTTAGGCATATGTACACGTTTTCACGCACGTTTCGATTTGGTTTGGCAAAATGTCCGACAACGAAGAATATGTTGCTGACATTGACGACGAAGTTTTAATAACAATTGTACAAGCAAATTCCTGTTTGTATGCAAAAGATAATAAATATTATAAAAATCACAACATAAAGGAAATAAAATGGGAAGCGATTGGTAAAGCTTAGACCAAATAACTAAAAGCTTATTACACCTATTGTAGACCCAGCCTAATGAAAACATAATAAGCACAAAATAAATTAAGCAAGAAAGAGATATGTATTGGTATAGTATAAGGAAATATTAAATATATGCTTGTACCTTCCATCATTTTTGCCAAGAGTTTCATTGTATTTAATACCAGTCCACCAGTCATCTTTAAATTCAGTTTTACCTATAGTTATAAAATGTTTATATAGAATCAGGATACATGATTCAAACAAAGATGAATTTTATTGGTATAAGATTATTTTATAAATAATAATTTTCTGCTGACCAACATATAAAACTGTAGGTCTTCGTTTTCGTTGATTTGGAACAGATACCTCACAGCGATCTCCAATTTTACATAGACTGACTAAACGTTTTTTTGCCTTCTCCTCACGTTTTTTCTCTTCTTTTTCTTTTTTTCTTCGTTTCTACTCTTTTTTTCATATCTTCTTCATTATATTTTCCTACTTTGTTCTTCTCAAGAAATGTTTTGACAGTATCTACAATATAAAACATAATTATAGATATTTACCTTTTCACCCAAGTGTGGAAATGGTACGTGAGATATCCTTTTAAAATACCACTTCTACTTTGTAGTCTTCAGAAAGAGATGGACGAGATGAATCATCAGTTGCAACGAATTCACAAATTAATGTCCCACCGCATATATTTCATTTCTCACCTTTCGTTTACATGTAAGTAGCGATAATGACGAATATCGTGATCTTACATGTATATATGTTTGTATAATAAATTATACAGTCTGTTTTGTCAAATATTTATTTCTATATACACCTTTCCCTTTTTAAATGCAAAATTGCAATTAAAATTTATCAATATACAGGTTAGGAACCATTTAAAATCCAACACACGTCGCAACCATCTCGATCAGCTGATTGAGTGCAAGGCTTGCTGCGGATTTGCTGCCAATTTGCTCTCGTGTCTTGTGCGCAAGTGTTGCTCAGTGTTTGGTACCTATTTGGTGCTAAGTTATGCGCTGCAAAACTTGCGCAGTTTTTGCTGCAAATTTATTGCAAGTTGTTCCGCACCAAGCCTTGTTGCACATTTGGTGGCAGTTTGCCAGCAGAATTTGATAACATAAAGTTTGTTGCAAATTTATTGCCTATTTGCCATCAACACTTGATGTCAACTCTTGCGCGGAATTTGTTCGCTCAGGTTTGGCTATCTGGGTATATGTCCATATTTTAAACTGCTTTTAGTTGTTAAAAACGTCTTAGAAAATGGTTTATATAATATGTCTTCTAATTCGATATAAGTTACTTTTAGAGACGCTTTTAACAAATTTAGTAATAAAATAAAGAGTTTAGAATATGGACATAATCTATATAAATAACATAGTCTAAAGAAAACTGTCGCTCGAGACGACACCATTAAATTTAGTTCGCCCCCGTGTCTATCGGCGGCGCTCATTCTAATGTCACAGTCTATAACATGACAGTTTGCCTGCTCTGGTTACACGACATTTTACCAGGGGGTTCAAACTCCCCGTATGTTTTGGTTCCGGAAGTTCAGTTCAGTGGTCGGTGCTCCAGGCGGCAGCACAGTCGATCCCTCTCTTTTCCTCTCTTTTCTCCTTGCACATAAGTTGATTTTGACTTGTTTTGCCTTGACAGTTTATCACCGTTTATGGTTAAACAATTCATAGTGCAGCATAGTGCAATTAACGCTAAACGCAAATTTTTTAGTGCTATTTGTGTTTATGTAGTGAATATTTTGTAATATATTATAACGTGTTTTTTTTTAGTTGTATAGTAAATTATAGTGTTTAAATGTATAAGTGATTTATAGTGTTTAAGTGTTTAATTGATAGTGTTTCAGTGATTTATAGTGTTTAATTATTATTAGTGAATAATACTGATTTCATTGCATATATATACTTATTACAATATTTTATATATCCTTATTATATAAGATATTATATTATATATTATTAGTTTATATATTATTTATTATATATATTATATATTACATATATTATATATATTATATATTACATATTATAATATATATTACATTTCAATTTATTATATAATTTATTACAGTTATTAGTTATAGTTATAATACAGTTAAAATTTTAGCTACATTTATAGAAACATGGTGCATAAATGTTGTGTACCCAATTGCACATCAAATAAAAATATTCCAAGGCACCAATTTCCAAAAGATGTGCAACGAACAGAAATATGGCTTGCAGCAATAAAAAGAACAGACCTGATTGGTAAGTGTACATATATATTTCTATATGCTTGTTTATTTTGTTCCTTCTGCCTCTCTCTCTCTCTCTCTCTCTCTCCCCCTCTCTCCCTCTCTCCCTCTCTCCCTCTTTCCCTCTCTCCCTCTCTCTCTCTCTCTCTCTCTCTCTCTCTCTCTCTCTCTCTCTCTCTCTCTCTCTCTCTCTCTCTCTCTCTCTCCTTTTCTATATATATATATGTATATATATACAAGGACAGTCTGAAAAGTTCTCGGCCTAACAATTAAAGAAAATTTTTTTTGCCGTAAAATATTTTATTTTTAAATATAATCTCCTGAAACTTCAATACATTTATTCCAACGTTTTTCCAATAATTCAATACCATCATTAAAGTGTGAATCCGGAAGGTCCTTTTTGCTCTGGTGTACAGTGGTGGATCCAAGTTTCAACGACAGTTATGAAACAATGTTTAATATCCATTTTATTTTGCTTAAAATGATGCAAATACGCTTGATAAATACACATTTGAATGCATTTATGGCCAATTGTTAGCAAATGCGGCACCTATCTTGCACGAAGCTTTTTCAACTGGTGCTGCTTCGAATGCTTTGACAAATCGAATAAAATTTTACATGGGTTTATATCAGGGATGCCATTTTCCAATACAATTATAGTTTGACAGTTTCTAATGCCATGTATATGTCAGGTCGAGAACTTTTCAGACTATGCTTACGTATATACCCTGTAGCATTCAAGATCATTATGTCACAATGAAGTCACATTATAATGACGTGTGAATGTTCGCATAATCACAGGCATGATATCACTGTGACATCACTGTTATTCACTGTGGGAATTTCACCTTATAGTAATGTCACTGACATCATGTCTGTGATAATGCGGACATTCACATGTCATTATAATGTTAATATGACTTCATTGTAACATAAATGCTTGTGACATAATGACCTTAAATGCTACATGGGTATATTTTATTAATTTTAAAATTTATTTGATATATGTTTGTGCATTTATATATATATATATATATATATATATATATATGTAAATAAATGCATATGTTTTAAATATAGTCTCTGTTTTATGTGTTACAGGTGTACAAAGGGAAAGATTAGATAAGTTAAGAATTTGCACTATTCATTTTTCAGATGATAGTATTTATAATTATACTCAAAGACGAATTTTAAAAAGTAACGCTATTCCATCCTTATATTTACCGAGTGAAATAAATGACGATAGTGAAGAACCTAGAATTATAATGAATACAAGTTTTATTCCAAATGTAGAATGTAATGTTCCAACAAAAAATGATACTAATGTAACTTATTGTAATTTCATTGATAATAATTTAACTGAAAATAATGTAATTGATAGTAATTTAATTGATCGTAATTTAATTGATAATAATTTAAATAACATAGATAATAATAGTGCAAAATCTAACTTATTAGTCGATTCCTCAAGTACGTCAATCAAAGTTTCAGACAACCTTCGATCATCCCAAAGTATAAGAAAAAATATTAAAAACTTGAAAGTACTCTTGCGCAAGAAGAAAGTCATTATTGAATCACAGAAAAGGAAGATTAAGGAATTACGCAATAGAAATATGTGGGATGATCTGACCGATGCAACTGACATACAGAAGACTTTCTTCGAAATAATAAGAAAAAATTTAAAGAGAAAACCAGAGGTTTGAGTTTAGATTTTTATATTATTTTTTTATTCTTATAAATATATATGTATATATATATATAAATATATATATATTTTTTTTATAAGTATATATTTTATTAAATATCTATATTTTGTAATATATATATATTTTTATTTTGTACTAAATTTTTGTACTAAATTCTGAAAAAAAAATGTATAATTTAAAGAATCTATAAAATCTTTTCGTATTGAATGAGTGCTCATTAAAGCTTTATTTGGAAATTGAGCACAAACTTTTACATTTATCCAATATTTCCATGACAAATATTACATGATATTCTGTTCTACATGATATTGAAATTATTTTACTTAATGATTAATTATTTTGTTTTAAAAAATTACATAAATGAAACTGACATTGAAAACAATTATTGGTTAAAATAAATTTATAATTTAGTAAATAAATTCTGTAAACAGAAATATAGATGTACACATAAAATTTATTTAAAAATCAAAATAAATATTTAAACTATATAGTTTATACATTTCAGATATGTTTAAAAAAATACATTTTTTAATTATGAACATGTTGAAAAAGTAATATAAGTAATATTAAAATATAGTAAAATTAGTTATATATTAACAATAATATTTCTATATTATTTTATAAATGTTGGTATATAATTGCACATAGCAAGAAATTAATTAATAATTATGTAAATAGATATATAATAAGAAATAGAAGAATTATATTTGGAAGAAGAGACAATTAACAATAATTGTCTTGTAAGAAATTAATATATTTAATATATATATAATATATATATAAATATATTGAAGAAGAAATTTATATATTTCAGTAATTAATGTATTGAATATTATCTTAGATAGCAGTTATGATTTTATAAGAGAGTTTAGTAATAGAATTGTTCAAGAGTATTATAAGCAAATAATTAGAAAAATTTTTGTTTGAGACTTTTTAAGATCCCTATATACAGGTATTAGGAGCAGTACTGTCTGACAGTATATCTTCAAAGAGAGAAGATAATGATGTAAAGAAAAAAAGAAAGACAGCAGATAGTTGTATACTCACTCAACATATAAACAGAAATGACACTGTGGTATGCGTAAGTGCATGCATTTTTTTTTGTGTTTGGTTCTGGCTTGAGGAAGACATTTTATTTCTATGCCTGCTCTCTATATATACATATCTCATTCTTTGGCTTTGATAAAAAATAATTTTTCAAATTTGCTTTTGAAACTATCATATCGATTACTGAATACAAAAAGGAAAATTAATAACATTAATTGCCTGTGTGTTATATTATTATTTCTTGTGGATTTTGATAAAGAGTTTACAATTTAAATACTATTTGGAATAAAAGTGTATATCTCCTTATTTGAATAAAGATACAAAACACTTATCTATAATATTTGAAAGAATATTATATGAGTGTGATAATTGTGACAATGATGTGCATCATATGTGTGAGGATTGGGACAATAATATGCATTATATGTGTATATATGTGTGCATAAGGAGCGGAGATAGGTCGGTGAACAAGTGCTGACTTAGTAATGCTAAGACAGTCATGATACCGACTTCAAATATCATCGCTTCATCGCGATAGTTCCGAGTCCGTTTTACCAAAAAGTTGTAGGTCTAAATAAAGATCAGAATAAGAATCAAGGATAAAGCAATCTGTAAAGTCTGAGAGAATGTACCGATTAATTTATACATATCGATACATATCGATTTAACATATGACCGATGTATATATATATATCTTCTTTGCTACTGTCTCTCTCTCTCTCTCTCTATATATATATATAAACAAATAAATGCATATATACAAAGAAACATTAATGTATGTATATTAATGCTTATGTGTGTGTGTTTCATAACTACTAATATCTACTTTATATAATACAAAATATTTACATTGTTTGGTTTTTTGCATATGTATGTACAAGCAGAAAAATTTTTGGGAATTAATAATTTTTAATATTTTACAAGGTCAATGCTACAATGCAAAAGAAAAAGCATTTGCTTTAACAATGTACAAGACAATGGGGAAGCGTGCTTACTTATCTTTACGATCAATTTTTAAAGAAATACCGAGTATTCAAACTTTACAATCGGTTTTGCACAGAATACCTTTGTTCCCAGGATTGAACCCTTTCATTCTGAGACATTTGAAAAGCATAGCTTTAAACATGTCAATGAAGGAGAAAGTGTGTATCCTTATTTGGGACGAGGTATCAATACAACCTAAATTTACTTATGATATTCGAAAGGATATCATATGTGGATTTGAGGATTGGGGCAATAACCGAACGCAAAAAATCGTGGATCATGTTTTAGTTTTTATGTTAAAAGGAATAAATTCATCTTGGAAAATACCAATATCTTTTAATTTTTGTAATAAAGTAACTAATACCGCACAATTAATTCGATGCATTAGGGAACATATTCAAAAAATAAAAAAAACAGGCTTCCACATTGTTGCAAATGTATGTGATCAAGGAACTAACAATGTCGCAGCAATAAATGAATTATTACGGCGTACTATTGTACCCACTGTGGGTGTATGGCGAACTACGACTTATTATAAAAGGCAGTGCAATGCTATCTATCACGAATCAAAAAAATTGTTTCAATAAAAATTTCACGTACAATCTAATTCTGCAATGAAAAATGTGGGTCCCCATTTGAGATTTGAACGTTACCACCCACTCTACCTCGAGAGGATGGGAGGGGAATAACTTTTATTATGTTCTTTAAGAATATTGAACAGGTATTTTTTATTTCTCAATCCAATGATCATTTCTGGAGAATTGCAGAAAATATAATTTTTTGCGATTACAGCGCCATCTATCACGAATAAAAAAAAAGTTTCGGACAAAATTTACGTATTTTGTGGCGTAGAATCCGTATCTGCAATAAAAAATGGGGGTTTCCATTTAAGATTTCAAAGTTGCCCCCAACCCCCACCCCCAGGGGGTGGGGTGGGAGGTCAAGTTTGGTATCATTGGATGTCCCCCTTCGAGACTAACAACTTTCATTGACCACTTTTTTTTATCCAATGCATAGTTCTCGAGATATTTCAATGTCTTCAGATAAATCGTGCACCCTGTATATATATATAATATATATATTATAAATTATAATTATATTATATATTATAAATTATATTACAAATTATAAATAGCAGATTGTCTTCATCATTTTTTTCATCGTTTCTTACTAATCGTTTCTTTAAAACTCTTTCTTTTATGATTTTTATTTTAAATTTCTGTGATGCGGTGAAGAAGTCTGTAATATTTTTCAACTTTTTCGAAATCAAATATTGCGCTTCATTATGATTTTGTTTTTCCCGATTGTCACTTTTTCCGATTATCTTTTTGCACTCTTACAGTGGTATTGTGGTGAATGCCATTGTTTATTGTACTGTTATTATCTTATATTATATTTCGAGATGATAGAAAAAAAGAAGTGCAATACTGAGTGCAATAAAAGAACACAACATCCAAAATTAGAATACGAGGGATATTATTTCCATTATAAAAAATCCTATAGGGATACAATGTAAGCAGATTTCTTAAACAGAATAAAATTATTTCATTAAATTATTATGCCATAAAAAATCTGATTTATGAATAGAAAAACAGCTTATAATTTAATAATTGTTTAATCGTATATATTATCTTCTTTTGAATCACAGTTATTAATTTTTGAGAATCTATCTAAATTTTTATTTAATTCATTATATAGTTTTGTAAAAATTATTCAGAAGATAATTTTTTATTAATTTACGTAATCAGCACAGAAGCGTATCAGTATTTGATGTATTGATGTATTTACTTATGAATAATTTGATGTATTTACGTATTAGATTTATTTCATATATTTGATGTATTTAATTATGAATGATTTTTTCATAGATATTATAAATGTAGTTTTCGTAAAAATAAAGTGCAATGTAAAGCAAAATTAAAAATTGTAAGTGATAATTATATTGTTAGTGGAAAACATGAGCATGAAAAACCTATATTTCAATTATGTGAGATTAGTAAAGAAATTGAAGCATCATGTGCATTCGAATCATGTAGATTAATAAAGAAAAGAATTATTTCGAAGTGAGTATAAAACAATAAAATAGAAAACAACAAATAAATGTTATTAATGAAGATGAGTACCTATTATTTATAATTGTAATTTTTATATTTGTAATTGTAATTGTAATTTGTTTATTTATATCTAGATACGACCATTTATTAGACAAAAATTGGTAATTTAGAAAAATCAATTGAAAGACATAAAAAAAATGTATTCGAAATATTTCAAAAAATTTAAATGATTTAACATATTGTTTAAATAAAGAAAATTGGAAAGAATTATTAAAAATAGAAACAACTGATTCTTTTATTGCTGATTTTGTAATGAAAGGAAAAAATACCAAAGCGATTATTTTCATTGATAAGGTTTTAGTGCAGTCAGTTATGTCAATAATTAATGACAAACTAACCATTTTTGTGGATGGAACATTTAAGACAGTTCCTCAAATTCAAGAAAATAATTGTCAATTGTGGACAATTATAATTAGATATGATAATAAGGTAAGCAAACAATTAATTTATTTCTTCATTTAATAATTAGTTGATTTTCCTGCAAAATCATTCTATGTAAATAAATGAGTAAATTAAATTGTTCTTAAATTTCAGACATTTCCAATTGTTTACACTATAATGGAAGGACGCACTTTTGATGATTATTTAAATGTTTTACAGAAAGTCATCCACGTAATTAAATTAGCACCAGAAATTATAATATCAGATTTTGAAAAAGCCGAGCGAAAGGCATTACAAACGATTTTTCCCAGAGCTAAAGTCATTGGCTGCTTCTTTCATTATAGTCAGGTAATAAAAGATAACTATGTACAAAACAATAAACATGAAATACATGTCAATTTTCCTTATACCACTTTCTTATTACAGGCCTTAATACATAATGCTAAGAAGCACAACATCCTAAAAGGCGACAAAAAGGAATCAGGTTGGGGCGCATTAAAACTATTGATATCTTTGGCTTTTTTGCCGGAAGATTTAATAGAAGGAGCCTTCGAAATTATTTATAAAATAATATTTAATGATTGCAAATATCTTCGATCATTTTTTCATTATTATAGAGAGACATGGTTAAATAGCTTCAAACCTCGTTCATTTTGTGTTTTTCAACAGTTACACAGAACGAACAATATTTCTGACAGGCACAACCGAGAATTACGAGAAAGCCTAAAGCAACATTCATAAATAGTTGAATTTTTAGGTATATTGTAAATGCTCTATTGTAAACACTGTTTTTTCATTATTTTTACTGTTCTTATAATTTAATATTATTTATAGCTAATCTAATTGAACACCAAAAAGACATTCGAAGTAAACTGAAACATCCAAACTTCTGGGCGAGATCAGAGCATTATATATTAAAACAGAGGGAAAATGAAATTCAAACAATTTGGTATAAAATCCAAGATACTAAAAATTTAGATATTTTATTAATATTATATTCATTATCTGAATTAGTTAGAAAAAAAGAGATTATTTAATAAATACTTTAATAATATACTTCTTATTCTTCTTTTAATTTTCCTTATTGTTCCTCTGGCTATTGACATTTTACAAGCACTCCTGGTTAGCTGGGAAGCTGGAACAAAAAAATTAATCAAAGAAAAGAATCGGTCCAACAACATCTACAATTACAGATAGCACATACATACATAATCTTTTCTTTCATGAAAATATTTGCTACTTATCTGATATATATTTGTCTATTTTCCATTTACTTCTTTCATTATTAATGCTCCTTTCATCTTGTATAGGCTTCATTCCGTTATTGACGATGACAGAAATGCGAAGAACGATGCCACAACTATAAGTAATATTTATCAAGATACATTAAAACATTGAAGAACTCAAACTGTTTAATTGCATATAATAATTAATCCACTTATACATATAATATCATTGTTTTTCATTTCGTTCATATTAATAAATTTTACGTTTTTTCTTATTTGTAATATTTTTACTTAATTTTATTTTAAATAAATGTAATATATATATATATACGTATATAAAAGTAAAATTTTCAATTACGTATTGTTTATTTTAGGCTGACATAGAATATTTATTTCATATCGAACAATACTTCATTTCATATTTCCATGTACTTCACCCTTATAAAAAGGATTTTCAATTCGGCGCAGCCAATGCGACGTAAACTTTGCAAGAAAGAGTCGGTGTCTTATCGCAATAGTTCTTCATCATTTTTAAAGACGTTTTTTTGTTACTCCTATTTATTTTCATATAAATATTCACTGTACGAAAGCGTTTCCAATTCCGTACTTCCAGTGCGACATAAACTTCGCAGAAAGAAGTCAGTGTTCTATTCGCAATAGTTTCCCATCCTTTTTCTCGGATGACATGAATTACTTCGCTTTATTTTAGCAGGAATATTCATTGTACGAAAGCGTTTTCAATTCCGTGCGGCCAGTGCGACGTAAACCTGGCAGAAAGAAGTCGATGTTCTATTCGCAATAATTCCCCATCGTTTTTTAGGTCGATTTATATTACTCCGCTTTATTTTGGCAGGAATATTCATTGTATGACAAGATTTTTAATTCGGTGCATCCACTGCAATGTAATCTTTACACAATTGCCAGAAATTTTGTTTATATATTGCAATATATATTTATATGTATAAACTTAGGATACATTCGGAGTATTCGTTATCACATTTGTGGGAAAATTGCAGCGCTGGCTATGAGGACAGTCGTGAATTATTTTTCTGCTCTGCATTATCATATTTATCGGAAGACCTAACCGCATATATTAAAAATTTTTCTGCAAAGTTTTCGTATCGTTTTAGGTTTCCTACCTAAATTTTGAGTTGTTAGAAATGATTTGTAAATTTTTCCTCATTGGAACATCCAGAGTTTCAGTACATACAAGCTGCAAAACTTTTGTAGTAGATAAATATTAACTATCTATTCTAACTAACTATGCTAACTATCAATTCGATATTTTAATTTAAAAATTTTTTATCGCTTTCGTCGCATATTGAGTGATGCTCCAATTAATTTTTGTACATACTTTCATCGTGTAAAAGTATATTTAATTCTGAAGCATTTAAGACGATGTAAACTTTGCAGAAAAAATATCAAATTTTGACAGTTCCCTGTCGATAAAGTTTTCGCGTTCACCATCCCCTTAAATTATAAAGCTTGTTTAGATTTAAATGAATGAGATTATTCAATATGATCTTTTAATAATTTTAAATTTAATTATAAATTGTTTATTGTTAATAATATTAATATTAAGTGTACAACTTTGCTCCCGCCGTTTTTTTCCGAAATTCGAGGTTTTATTGTAAAAAACTGGTTATACATTTATGATTCAAAGTATTGTCCATCGCTGGCCACTACTTTCTCCCATCTTTCGGTCGGCGTACGAATCCCGCGTTCAAAAAACTGGTCATCTTTTGAAACGATCCACGAATCGATCCACGAATCGATCCAATTTCTTACTTCTTCATAAGACCGGAAGTGCTGGTCAATCAGGCCGTGTACCATTGATCGAAACAAGTAATAGTCAGAGAGAGCAATGTCTGGAGAATACGGCGGGTGGAGTAGGACCCCACTTCAACGTTTCCAAGTCTTGACCACTTTCGCAACATGGGGTCGAGCATTGTCATGTTGCAAAATCACTTTATCGTGTCTTTCGTTGTATTGCGGCCGTTTGTCTTTCAATGTTCGGCTCAAACGCATTAATTGCATTCGATAACGATCGCCTGTGATTGTTTCAGTCGGTTTTAACAGCTCATAATACACTACGCCGAGCTGGTCCCACCAAATACAGAGCATGACCTTGAGAGCCGTGAATATTCGGTTTGGCCATCGACGTGGAAGCATGGCCGGGACGTGGAAGCATGCCTATGAATTTTTGCGCTTATCGTAATACCCCGCTCTGGGGTTATCGTAATGAACCCATTTTTCGTCCCCAGTCACAATGCAATGCAAAAGTCCCTTCCGTCTTTGCCTTTCAAGCAACTGTTCACAAGCAAACAAACGCCGTTCAACATCTCTCGGTTTCAACTCATACAGCACCCAAATTCTTTGCTTCTGAATCATTCCCATGTCTTTGAGGTGTTTTGAAATTGCTTGTTGAGTCACTCCTGTAGAAATAACTTTCCTTATTACTCGTTTCTAGGGTATGTATGAGTTTATTGGGTTGGGTTACAATAAGAATACACGAGGCGGGTGTAAAGATCGGCTTGCAAAATCACACATTTCCTACTCTCTTTCTTAGCTTCGTTCTTTCTTCGCGTCCTTTTCGCTACTCCCGACTTCCGCTTCTCGCGCCACCTCACTGGCGCTGCTTACCCTAATGTTGTGTTATCGGGCGCCGCTCTGGCCGCGGCTCGCCGCATTTTGCCGCGTTATTCAAACTTACTTATATGCTCGCAAACCTAATCCTACACTCCCAATGATCGTGCCAATTCTTCTTGACTTTGACACGAGTCTTCATTAAGCAATGCCTCCATTTCTGCATCTTCGAAAACCTTCTCTCTTCCACCACTATGCCGGTCTTCGACGTGAAAATCACCGTTCTTGAAGCGTTGAAACCACTTACGACACGTTCTTTCACTAATAGTAGCCTCACCATAAGTATTTGAGAGCATTCGATGAATCTCAGTCGCAGATTTCTTCATATTAAAGTAGAAAATTAAAACCTCTCGCAAATGACGAGAATTTGGCTTGTAAACTGACATTTTCAATCGAGAATAACTTTATGATGCAGACACAAATCGACTAATGTTTCTATGGGGTTATGTTGACAGATTCCCAAGTTTATTGCATGACGTCTATGATCTATTTATTTCGACTACTACTTACTGCTAAAGCCATCTGTAGTGTCATGCCCTAAGCAGGACATTAACGAATTACTTATAATTAATAGGCACTAATTATATTGGCGAAGGTGTTATGCGAAGCACTTCCGCTACACCTATGCCGCACGTGTTGCAAGGTAAGCATCACGCCATACAGGACAAAGTCCAAAAATGTCCAAAAACAGGCAACAGGCAAATAATGCACTGTCTGCATGGACAAAGATCGGAAACAGCGCGATGCTTCCGCCAGATTTGCAAAATTCCTTCGGCGACGAGTCTATAAATCGACTTCTGTTACCGAAGGGAGGCACAGCCAGACCACCGGCCGACCGAACCAGACGTATCTATCTCTAAGACTATATTTTGTAAACGCGCTAGCAAAGGGTTAAGTCAGTAAGAGACTCCTTTCCAAAATAAAACTAAGTTTTATTAAACACCTCTTTCATCACTGCCTCATACGGATTCCGCAACAAAATTGGTGGCAGCGGTGGGATCAGCCGTACAAGATATCGCGGAACGCATTCAGGAAAACCTGGAATATTATTATTCTTTTGAGGAAGAATTTGATTTACCCGACCAAGCAAATAGAGTCACACAATTTGACAAAGCGAAAAGTGCGTCCGATGCTTCCCTCATAACTACCGACGAGTGCGAGCAAGCAAAAGCGTCAGAAATAAAACATAAGAGTGCGAGGCTAATAATCAGCCGAATGCCTAGTAATCTCTCCCTCAGAGGAAACTTCTCCATATTGTCGTAAGATAGTGATATTTTCGATCCAAATCAAATATTTAGCGAGGACAGAATGTCTGTCACACCACCACCGGGTACGTCCGCAGAAATCATAGGAAACTGGGAAATGTGTTACGCGATTGATAAAGAAATAGTCAAAATGCGGAGAACGTTGACAACAACACCAATCGACAGGACACAACAAGCCCGTGAGAAATCCGCGCCGCAATTTGAAAACATTCAGTCGAATCAGAACCGACCAATAACAGGAAGTTTAGGGATAGATGCGGATCGATTGTTTGCTTGAAATGATAATCGAAGGCATAGAGGATCTAAAAAATACGTCCGCCACGACAGTGCAAATACTCGCGCGAAGAAACGTCGGAATAGCTCTCACCGACGCCGCGCCAGTAGAACCATACGAGCGAGATTCCTATAACAGACTACAAGAGATAGATAACGTCGGCCGTAATCCAGAGAATTACGCTAGGCTGCGCGAAGCAAAAGACCATATTCCACTTTTCGATGGATCAAACGAGGAAAGATTAATGGAATACCTCACTGCGTGTGACTACGCATTCGAGATAATACACCCTGCAGATGAAGTTGAATTAGTACGGACAATAATTTGCACAAAACTAAAAGGAATCGCTTTGGTCGAAATAAAAAATAGAGATCCACGCAACTACGCCTCGTTAAAAAATATGTTAGAAGAATGTTACGCGAGAAAAAAGTCCAGTACGCGATTACAACGCGAGTTTAAGTACGCACGCCAGCAACCGGGGGAAGAAGCACGCGCCTTCGGTAAGCGAATAGAAAAATTAGCGACCGAATTATTCACGGCAACCACCGAAGGC